CAAAAACAACGAATAGATAAGAAAACATTTATTACGGAATTTTAACTAAGAATATCAGAGCCATTGATATCGCAAAACAAACATCCTTTGAAAATATAAGGTAGATAAATATTTAATAAATATGGAAAATATTTACCAAATAAAATGCTTTAGAGTAGGCTTATTAAATTTAGAAATTGAGAAAGATATGGGCTAAGAAAAACAAAGAAGAACGTATGTAATGTAATTTAAATCACGTAGAAAAATTGAAGACGAAATTAATTTTATTTCAGTATATCCTTGTTATGTTGATCTCAGAAAACAATATATACTAGACGTTTATTAAACATGTACGTCCATGTTTATTAATTTGTTGAAGTTAGAAAAAAAAACATGTGTAACATAATATATTTATTTTTCGTTATCATATTAAGTTTCGTTTTATATTTCTTTAATAAGGGCTCGATGCCTATGCAAAATCAATATGTCCTCCAAGTTCCATGTTTTCTGATTTTCAATTTTCTTTGCTGATTTAAATGAGAAGTATGATTTTGTAAATAGGTAGATGTGTTGCGCATTCAGCTACTTTTAGTATTTTGTTAGCATTTTTCTTGCGGCAACGTGTGTTGCCAATTGGGCTATTTTTTTTTTCGATTTTACCTTTGATAAAAAACGAATTATTTTAATCGCTAGCTAGCATTCTTCCATTTAACAAAATATTGTTTTAAATTTCATTAAAACGTATGTATACTTTATGGACCTTTCTGTCCTGTTTTGTAGTTATTAGATCGCTCAATTGTGTTGATGATGCACTTCGCGAAAATCTAGCTTCGTGGTGTCAAATAAGTTGCTGACTTCCACACACTTTTTTATTTCGTCATCGTAAACATGTGCGCTCATTTTAATGACTGGCATTGGTGGTAGTTTGTTGAAATTGAATTAATAGCGACTATTATAGCAGAAATGGAAAAGATTGAATTTTCAACAAATAAATACAACAAATCTGATTTTATTATTAAGAAAAATATACGTTATCACTTTGAAAAACGTGCGCAATCGGACTTTTTAACGTTATTACTTGGTCGATGATGCAAAGGGCAAAGGTCATTGGTTATTTCGACTATTCGTAAAAAGGACGTTTGCTGGGTTTTTACCCATAGTATTACAAATAATTTCTGAAAAACAGACTAATGAGACTACTTCGATGCTGTTAGGATTGTTAAAGTACGGTGTTGCCAGCCAGAAGATGATAATGGTGGTACAACACAACAACGCTGGCTTAGATGCCTATGTTACGTAATCGTGTCCTTGTAATCCGAGCCGACTTTACCGTTAAGCAAGTTAA